TTAAATATAAACTCGAATTATTATTTTTTTAACTAATCAATCTGATTTTGAAATATACTGACAATTATAATATTTTTATATGCCATCAAATAAAAAAATTAGAAAGAGAATATATGATATTGATATAGGACATTGAAGTCAAAATTTATTTTCTATTTTAGTTAATGTTTCTTCCAGTTTTCTATGTTTATTATAAGGAAAATGATAGATTTACCGATTGGTGTGTATCGATTTTGTGTACCGAATGACGTGGTAAAATCCTGGCCGTTGATTAATATTAACTGATAATAAATAAACGGTCAGGATTGTGCCACGTCATTCGATGCACAAATTCGGTACACACCAGTCGGTAACTGTTGCATTACTCTTATTATAATTGTCAATTGTCATATGCTTTTACATTTTAGAAATACTGAGTTTCATATGCTTTTACATTTAAGAAATACTGAGTTTTATATACGTATAAACAGGGACATAGCCAGAAAATTGATATCAACCCGTTTTCATATTTCATTTTATGATAAATTCATTGTCAATCTTATTGAATATATCTATTTCGATACAAATAACTAAACTATGATTCAGTCATCAATCTCTCTTTCGATTCTATAAATGATTCTTCGATATAAAATCATTTAAAATCCAATGGGGGGGCATCTCGTGGTTGTTTTTTTTGTTTGGTGACTGGGGTGTTTAAGTCAATTTTTGTGTACTTCAACTAACCTTTGAGATCCTAAAGTTAACGGCTAAGTAAACTTTCAGTGGCCACCCATATTAATAACCGAGGTGAATTGATCTCAAGATCTCTTGAGTAATATCATAAGAGTTTTATTCAACCACTCGGCCACCCAACGGTGGTTCCATGCTTGCTCTTGCGTCTAATATAAATATTAAAATATATAAAGGCTGGTGATTTCATAACCATAATTATTAAAAAATTTGTTGGAAACTGTTTTACTGAGATTTAAAGATTTAATAAACAAGTTAAATGAGAAATATTAGGTTGAATATGAATTGTCGGCGAAAGCAGTAATTGGTAAAGCAATATGTGAAATAGAAATGGACAAGTAATCAGTAACAAGGGCCAAAATGTTAGCATGAATTTATGGAAGAAGGATGTACATCAATCTAATCAGTAATCAAACAGAAAAGATATAATACCAACCCACACCATTTTATTACCAGCAAGTACACATTTTAATTGCAAACAAGTACCAAAATTGATGTTGGCCCATTTAGATTTGAATTTCTACATGTCCTACTTCAGTTTTAATGATGTAAAAGGCCCAGAAAAGCCCAACATATGTTAAAGTGTTGAAGGGCCCATGAATCATTTTCGATTATAGATGGTTGTGTTTTCATGAAACACTGTCAATTCAATCTTCCACGAATAAATTGCGTATTTATGACAATACTATAATAAATTTGGATAAATTTTAAGAATTATCTTCTGTGATAAATCTTTTTCCCAATACAAATTTTCCGAATAAACCAAGTTCTAAATTACTTGAAACAATATTTGTGGTATCTAGTTTTGGTAAAAAGAATATTTTATTATATTTTCTAAATTATTAATAAGAAAATAAAATACATTTTTTTCTTAAGGTTCAGGTAAAATACATTTATATCCTTCAATTTAAGAAATATGTAACAATAAACCTTGTAAAAGGCCTAATATGGAAATACTCCTAAAGTGGGTGAATAGGAGTTGATAAAAATTATTGCCAAATAATAAATTTCTCAACTACCCAAATGTTATGAACAATAAATAACAATAATGAGAAGTAATAAATAAGCAATAAGTAATAAATGAGTTGAGAGGAGAGAAATGCTCCGAGATTTATAGTGGTTCCAAACTTTGATAAAGAGTCTCATACATCCACTTCTTCAATGCAATCTTTTTTAAGTTTTACTAGATTCAAATTTCACCAATACAATAGTTTTCACATGATTTGACCTTTACAAAACTTTGATAAGATTTCGTCCTCAAAGAAAAGTTAAAAGTTTTTGTGAATGATTGCCTCTAAGCTAGACTGATACACAATGAGTCTTTTAGTTTTTCTTTGAGGATATGAGTTTTTGTACAAGAAAGTAATTTTAGTCTAAGATTGAGCTCTGGGGTTTGCAATATTGATTGATGATAGATGCATTATTATCTCTCTTTTTCTCATGCAATAACTCTCTCTATTTAAGTCTTCACCAACCCTTGAAATAAATTAGAGTCGTTGCTTAATTTAATACACTGTTGTAGTTTTCTGTAAAACTACAGAACCTAGAGGAATGGGTGTTCCAACATCGGGAATGGGCGTTCCTGACACCAACGATCACTTTTCTTTGAATTTTAGGGTTTGGAATGATTGTTCCCCTACTTGGAATGGTTGTTCGCTTATTGCGAACATGCATTGCCCTATTGCAAATGAATGTGCTTTTCATCTTGGATCTCTTAAAGTTCAGAAATTCCAGAACTTTGAACGATTTCCTAGAATGGTTTCGTTCCTTCTTAGAACGGCTTAATGACTGGGAACGGGCGTTCGTCGTGATTGTTCTTATTTGACTTGAAGTTTCCACAACCTTGACTTAAACTTTAAATCTTCTAAGTCCAAAATCTTGACTTAAACTTCGAACATACATTCTTCTCATGGAATGGGCGTTCCTCTTCAGGTCGCAAAGAGTGTCAAGATTCCAGGACGATGAACGATATGATGGAACTACGTCGTTTATGTGGAACAGGTTGGAAGAATGGTTGTTCTATTTGGTCATTCCTTCTTTAGATCACAAAGAATGTCTAGCTCGCGAATGTGTGTCAGCCTCTTCGAATAAGTCTTCAAATGTTTAGAACGGCTTGGCGGAATAGCCATTTAGTTTCGTCGTTTCTTTTGAATGTGAGTTTCGGCTTAAGAGGACACATACTTCATTTTGGACATAATTTTGAACATCATGGAAAGATGTCGTTCCAACTTGGAACGGCTTGACTAGGAGTTAGTTTCCAGAAATAACTGATTGGATTAGGCGTTCCATCTACATGAACGGTCGTTCCACTTGGAAAAACTGCATTTTCATTTTGGTTATGACTTATGTCATACCTTTGCATATTTGTTAGTCCTTTAAGCAATCTTTTGATTTTTTTTTTTTTTTGACACATTAAAACATATTAGGACTCAGTAAAACTTCCCGATTTCTAGTTAACCTTTTTGGCTAGGAAACAAGAAGAATTGTATTAGTTAAGCTAATAGAATATATAAAATAAGGTTTTAAAACATAAACATCCTTAAGATTTAGTGTAACATTAAGTTAGAACCAAAGGTTTAATTTAGTGACATTACAAGCCTAAGTACTATAATATTAGGTATATTATAATATTGTCGAATGTCATATATATAAAGACTTGTGAAGTCATAACTTTGTTATAGTCTATATATCAACAGTATTCTAAAAAAAATGTTGGAAATTGTTTTGTCAAGATCTATAAATAAAATTTAATGAGAATTATTTGGTTGAATATGAAATGTAGGCTAAATTCGACGGCAATATGAGAAACAGAAACGGATAAGAATAATGGTAATTAGGGCCATACAAATACAATTCCAAATAACAACCCAGATCGTTAACGTGAGTTCAAGGAAGAAGTGAGTATGTGCGTGAATAAGAAAATAAATTATACAAACTCAGCTCATTTAATGGATCACTTTCAAACAAATATACAATTTAATTGCAAATAACCACCTACACTGATGTTGCACAAGTTGGATCTATGTCATCTTTCATTTATTTATTATTTTAAACATGTTGTCCAATTATGCTTCCTTTTTAGAGACTGTTTCTCCGAAATTATGAAGATTAACTCATAAGCAGCTAGTGTTAGTGTTTATAAGGTAAATATTTGAAATTTAAGTAATTACATATTTGGTTAAAGTATTTATACGTAACTAATAAGTAGTTGACGCGTTCGGTAAAATGTGGCTTATAAGTACATTTTATTATTAAAATTGCTAAAAATGATGCTACATAATTTTATCAAATACTAAATTATATTAACTCAATTTTTTATTATAGTATTATCAAAATATATTTCGATCATGTTACAATATAATTTAATTTTAGAATTAAATAAACAAATACTTTATAGACAAATATTTTATTAAAAATTTATATGAATAATTTCTAGATTCTTTATACAAAATAAACTAAATATAATAAATTAAATAAGGGTAATATGATAATATACTTGATCAAAGTAGAGCATATAAACAGAGTGCTTATAAGAAAAAAAAAAAAAAAAAAAGTAGGTTCCCCCTAGTTTATTTTTTTGGCTTATAAGTTCAGCTTATAAGTCCAAAAAAATTATAAACAAATATGTTAGTTTGATTTTAGAACTGATCAGCTTGCAAGCTCACATAAACACCCCCTCATTAAGGTTTATTTCATTTGCCCTCTTAATAGATTGTTAAGTCTCAAGCATCACCAAAATTTTCCAAAAAGTATTAAAAACACCTCTTAATAATTGTGTATCCAGTTTTTGTAGAAGAATATTTTAGAGAGGAAAATCAGTGTTTATTATATTTCATGAACTAAATGAGATTATAATATTATTAAGGAAATGAAATATTAACGTTGTCCCTTTACAAGATAATCTTGAAGAAGGAAGTGTTTTCCTATGTTTTAATAACCAACTCGAGGAAAAACCCGGCCTGGTGAAGGTCTTGAGTCTCGGTTTAACCGGCTAGATGGGGCCAGGTATTAAAACACAAGTGTTTTTCACTAATATCTTCAAAAATCTTGAGAACCCATGTAATTGACATCAAAACAGTAGCTGCTACATACCCAGTAGTGAAACTTGTATTTTACCCAGACAATTTCTGATTTTCATTAATTTGATTATTAATCATTTAATCTTGATTTTGAAAATTTTAAGTGAGTATTTCTTAATACAATTGACTAACCCAATTGTAAAACCTTTATGGCCCGTTTCACTGACGGGATTGTACCAGACAAAAGCCACATCATAAAATTTTGATTATTTTCTGTTCATTTCTTTATCTAACCTATAAAATACATTAACCTCTTTGAAGTAATAAATTTGTTTTGTCTAAGCAAAATCACTTTAGACTGGAAATTTATAGGAAAAAAAAAAAAATCAAATAAGAATTTAGTTGACATCAAGCCCTGGCTTCAAAATTCTCTTGCAGAAACTGGCAAAGCTCCTCTGCAACCATTGTGGGAAACTCTTCTTGTGGCAACAGAGCACCTGGAACCTCAACAAACTTGCTGACCCCTTTGGATCCTTTAAGTGCTTCAATCTCAGCTTTTGACCTCTTTGGAGATCCCTTTGTTGACACGACCAGAACCGGTATTTTTCCCTCCAAATCCGCAAACAAATCCAGGAACTCCTCTCGTGAGTTAACAGGGTCGAGCAGACCAGTCAAGAAAGAAGCGGGAACATAACGGGCTCCTTTCCGTTTTGTAAGGGCATATCTGCTTTCTACAATGCCTGGAGTTACATTGTCAGGATTTGCATAGACATGAGATTTATATTGGGACTGAATTGCCTTCTCGTTGCTAACAAGCATGTTATACATCATCCATCCTACAACTGGAGCCCTTAAGGTTCCCCTCAACAGTCCATATCTGGTAATTCACACAAAATCGGAAAATGAAATCAGTTTCTTCACCTAAACAGACATATAATTCCTATATCCATAACTCTCATTTAAATTCAGTGGAGAACCCAAAACTCTCTTTGGTTCACTTAGAAAGAACTTGGATTAAAATTTTAAGGAGTTACGGAAGACATAACATCTTGCGACATAAAAATTTCGATTCAGATTTTACAGTGTAACATTAATCACATTGAGACACGTTAAACACGTACTATTAGTAAGACAGCTCACATCAAAATAACATTTACTTCATTGTTTTCTATTATACTCAAGAAAAGGAAATAAAAGGAAAGAGAAATTACTATGATGAGGCCTTGGAGCTAATTTTTTTTTCTTTTCTGGTGATAAGGGTTGAGAAGTAACAAAGAAATATTAATATTAAGATGATCAAATTCTCTTAACCAAAAGAAATCAGATAAAAATTCTTAAATCCTAAAACAAGAATAGCTCTATATGTGCTACACCTTTATATTACCTAAATTGCATAAACCCAATAAAACCCATTTCAGAGAAAGCCAATTGTTTCTCTGAAAAATGCTCCAGAAATTGCTGCATCAGTGGGTTCCCTCTAGTTTAGAAGAGGCATGATTAATTAAAATTTATAATAATGATATTCTTGGGGTCTATACATCTGTTTCTAATCCTAAAATCATTAGAAAAGTAATGTTCAGAGAAAAATAGACGTTGGAGACAGAAATTATCCTTCCTCTCTTTTATAACAGGATCTCATCCCCATTCAAACAACATGACTATCTTTCCTTGTTTCATTTAGTAATTTATTTGATGTATCTTGAATGTGAGTGAAAATAGGCATTAAGCCAGGATCTAAAATATGTAAACTGCACTCTATGTGGAAGAAATGATTGGTTATGGAGATAGCATGTCAGATATCTGCATCCTCGCAATTACCACTGAAAGGACTCCTAATAATTTGAGTTCTCATTCAAGAGATTATCAATAGATAACAAGGTGTACTAGTCTGAGTTTTTGTGCAACATGCACAATGCTACCCTTCTGTGAACAAAAATTCTGAAAAGCACACACTGAATTTTAAGAACAAAAGACAAGGTCTCCACTCTGAAATTGACATAGAGGTATAGATTACCTTGTTTCCATGCTAGAATCTCGACCAAACACAATGGGGAGTGGACCAGCCCAGGTGGGTGCAACAGCAGCAATGGCTGTGGGTTTCACCAAACCCTTTTTTGCAGCACGAACTGTTATTGTGGCAGCATGGCCCCCTCCAAAGACCACCAAATCATTTTCTGATTTAAACATGGAAGATCATAAGATGCAATTCTTGAAAAATGCCAAGCAACATACAAAACAAGGAACTTAAAGTAACAAAAACTTGAAAGAGACAACATTTAGGTTATTCTATCGGTTAAAAAACGAAGTAAATACAGCCACTCATAAAGCATAAAATGGAATGCAGAGGAGAAACATTAGGATGGGTACATAGAGAAACATCTGCTCGAGCAGGTTAAATACTATTGCAGACATGAGCTACAAAAATAGATACAGGAAGAAGAAAACAGTGTGTCATGGACCTAGCTCATATACCTATCTATTGCTTAGAATTCCACCAACTTGTTCACATCTCTTGACAATCAAATCATGAAATCCATGGGTTTCACTTGATTGAGCAAAGAAAAATTAAGATACTCCAAATATATCAGATGATCATTAAATGAATTGACTAATAGTTAAGACATTCACAGAAAGTTCCCAATGACTGAAAGCTGTCATGATAAAAGAGAGGTGATATCAGTTAGAGCTAAAGAAAGTTCCTATTCCAAACCAATTAAAAAAATATAGCAAATTAACCTGTTAAAGCTTAGATTATCAGTTTACTGCTTGCTTTCATACATACAGACACATCTATATGGTAATGAACTTTTGGTTCATCACAAAAATTAGTTTCTCCTTTCACTTCATCTTCTTCATTTAGTTAGGCGGTGCAGGGGACACAGTTTGGGGTAGGTGCTGTAGAAACGAAACAATTGAAAATTGGAGAAACAAAAATATTGCAACTAAAAAAAAAAAAAAAAAATCAACTCAGACAGAGTAATCACATTAATGATGATCACTTTGTGATCAAGATCAGCTCTGTTATGTAACCACCAACTACCTCAACCACAATATAGTATGATACAATAGTGGTATTTGAACATAAACCACTTGGTCAACCTGGCTTTGATAACATGTTAAATAACTACTTCANTTCATACATACAGACACATCTATATGGTAATGAACTTTTGGTTCATCACAAAAATTAGTTTCTCCTTTCACTTCATCTTCTTCATTTAGTTAGGCGGTGCAGGGGACACAGTTTGGGGTAGGTGCTGTAGAAACGAAACAATTGAAAATTGGAGAAACAAAAATATTGCAACTAAAAAAAAAAAAAAAAATCAACTCAGACAGAGTAATCACATTAATGATGATCACTTTGTGATCAAGATCAGCTCTGTTATGTAACCACCAACTACCTCAACCACAATATAGTATGATACAATAGTGGTATTTGAACATAAACCACTTGGTCAACCTGGCTTTGATAACATGTTAAATAACTACTTCAACTAAAAGTTTAAGCTCATAGATAAATGCTTTAATAATAGATTTAAACTTTAACAAACACAAAATCTTTAAATTTGACCACCTGATGAGCTTACAGGGCTATCTGGCGCATTGATGAAGTCAACCACGAACTTCTCCATGACATCAGCATTGTAATCCATCTTTGGCCTATCAGAGTAACCCAAACCAGGCCAATCAACAATAGTAGCACGCCAATTGACTTTGCCATCTCGTTGAGCAATGTCTTTAGCCACAGATTTCCATTCTTCAACAGTGCTAACATCTGAAATTGTTGGTATCATAAGGATATTTTTGGTGGAGTCAGAGCTCTCCCTCTCATGTTCCTCATAATAGATATTGATAGAACTATCCTTGAATTTCCATTGCCAATTGCCAGTCTGCATAAGCCAACACCACTTGTGAGAGAAACAATTATAATAACCGAAATAATACAAAAACAAAAATAATAAGAATTCAATCACCACTAGTTTCCAACTTAAACAAAACTAGAATCATAAGATGCTAACATCACATTGATCAAAACCAAAACCAATTAATTTCATATAACATAATTCACAAACTTAGCCCCATAAATTACATAATTACTCAAACCTTCCATCTGTTAGACTCTAAATAATTACTCATTGAAGAAAAAAAAAAAACTACGAAAAGATAGAAACTAAAACATGAAACCAAATTGGTCTGACCTTTAATGGGGCCCCTTTTTTTTCGAGGACTGAGGGGGTAGAGTAATCGAGAGAAGTTGAAGAAGCCTTGACTGAAATGGGTTTTTGAAAGTAAAGTTTTTGAGGGAAAAATGGTGTGTAAAGTTTGCGTGTAAGAGTGAAAGAAGAAGGTGAAGAGATTGAGAATGTTACAGTGGATGCCATGAGAGGAAGAATCAGAGAAATACGTGTGAAATGTATTAAGACACACGGTTGAAGGAGAGACTGTTGAAGGAGATTGAAGCAGAACCACTTGAGTTTTGAGTTTACTGTCTGAGCCGTGTGGATACAGGAATTTGGTCGTTATAGCAAAACGTCAAAATTGGGTGCTGGTATGATTTCTCAAAATAATGAAATATCATAAATAAAAGGCCTCTTTTTAGTTTTAGGATTTTTTCAGAAATTATAAATTTTTATATTATATAATTATAAAAATAACGTTATAAAGAAGTAAAAGTAAGGTATGTTTCATTCAGTATCTGAAAATTAATTTAAAATTTTGTAAGCATGATTTAACTTTAATTCAATAAAGAAAATAAACATTTTTTTTATATATAAGTTTAAGATTATATGCAAAACTATTTTTCAAAATCCTGTATTATTTTGTTTAGATTTATATTATCCACCCTTCCTTTGTTTAGTCAACTGAGTTCTTCATTTTTCAGATATGTACATGACCTGTAACATTTTCTCATGTTTTTATGTACAATTTCTTTTGGAACTTTTTTTTTTTGTCCAAAGATAAAAAATGTATAAAATGATTTTAAAAAGTATTCAAGGTAATCATATTTGTGTGGTTTTTTTTTACTACAAAATTTATACATGAACATATGTTTGATTGGCTAAAAGAGTTTTATGCTAAAATGTTATTAAACCTTGATGATTGAAGTGGTGTTTTGTTGTCATGTACATCTATTTCTTCTATAAACCTTAAGATTATTCTGTTTCATTGCTCAACACTACCAGTAATCTCTGCATGAGCAAGAACCATCCATGAATGAGTGAAACCTACTTCTATCTCTCACCACAATCTCTAACCCATAAACCTTGCTAATTAACTTCATCACTGTATGACAATCTCTGCAAATTCTCAAATTCTTCACTATTCTTATGGCTTTTCCCTTGCACATTCTTGCTATCCCAAATGCTAAAGCTAGCTTTTCGCTGTGCTTTGACACTGAATCTTCCTTTTCTTCCTCTTCTATGTCATGTAAAACACTCCCAACTTCCGGAACATAACCTTCTTCAACTCTAAGCCTATGCATTATCTCCCTTAGCTTCTCATAAGCTTCTTCTGCAGTCTTATTTGGTTTTTCACCTGCCACAAAACTATACATGATCTTCTCAACTTCAATCATGCTCCAACCGGGAGTCTTCTTCAACCTCTGGTCAGTCATTCTTCTTCTCACACTCACAACATCCTTCCATTTCCCAGCAACAGCATAAATATTGGACAACAATACATGGTCACCAGAGTTGTTAGGGTCTAGCTCATATAATCTTTCCTTCACTTGCTCTGCCAATTCAACATTGCCGTGTATGCTGCATGCCCCAAGAAGCGTCCGCCAAATGATAGTATTAGGTGAAATGGGCATTTGGCATACAAATTCATAGGCCTTTTGAAGCTTACCAGCTCGACCGTAAAGATCAACCATACAACCATAATGCTCAATTGTAGGTTCTAAATTGTACACATCCTTCATCATAGAAAAATACCTACTTCCTTGTTCAATCAATCCAGCATGACTACAAGCATATAGAATTGAAATGAAGGTAATGCCATCAGGCCTAAGTCCAGACTCTTCCATCTCATGAAAAAGTTGTATGGCTTCTTCACCATGACCGTGCATTGCCAGCCCAGCTATCATTGAAGTCCAAGAAACAATGCTCTTATTCTCCGGCATTCTCTCCAGGACTAACCGAGCCATGCCCACATTTCCACACTTGGAATAAGTATCAATCAGTGCATTATTCACCGAAACAATCCAATCAAACCCAAATTTCTCCACAAATCCATGTAAAATTCTCCCGAACTCAAACGCCCCCGCCTGTGCACACGCAGAAAGCACCCCAGTCAAGCTAACCTCATTCGGTCTCGTCCCCACACGCAGCAACTCCCTGAAGAACCCAAATGCCTCATGAAAACACCCATTTTGAGCAAACCCAACAATCATAGTACTCCAGGAAACATCATCTTTCATTTCCATCGCCATAAACACCTTGCGTGCCAGCTCAAGCTCCCCGGCTTTCATGTACCCGGCAAGCATTACATTCCACGTGGTCAAATTCCAAAATGGCATCGTATTGAACACTCTCTCCGCGTTCTTCACGTCACCACTTCTAAAACAAGCGGTAACCACCGCGTTCCGCACAATCACATTTGGGTCACTCATTTCATCAAACACCTTCATGGAAAGGTCAGAGCGCTCACATTCTCCGTACATACTAATCAAAGTTGTCCCAACAAAGAGATGTCCATCAAGCCCATGAACCAAAGCTTGACAATGCAACTGAATTCCACTTTTCAAAGACCTTAAGTTCGCGGCTGCTTTAAGCACAAACGCGAACGAGAAGCTATCAGGAGGGTCTAAACATTTTCTACGCATTTCAATGAACGTAGTGATTGAATTTTGAGGTTTATCAGATTCGGAGAAACCTCGAACAAGAGTATTGTACATGAAAACATCTGGGTTTGGGAAGTGGAGGAAGAAGCGGCAAGCGTAGTCGAGAGAATCGGAGATTGTAACGGCGCAATGAAGGAGGAGTTTTCCGGCGGAGAAAGCGTCTAAACCGGGGGCGGTTTTGAGAAGAGAAGCGTGGATTTGTTTGACGGCTTTCAGGGTCTTGCACTGGTTCAACAAAGAAAGACACTGGTGATATGTGTTGTTCATTTGGGGTTGTCAGCAAGTCAGTGACTTTATGGTTTCATGCTTTTCGCTCGTTTGTTTGAAACTAAAAATTTTCCAGTCGCCTTTTGGTCAAGGGAAGTTTCTTGTCCCTCCTAACGAGAAAATTTAGCTGCCGCACCATCTCAAGTTTCGATTTAAGAAATGGTCTTGAAACTGTTTTTTTTTTTTTAAATTTAGAGAAGATAACGTGGCATAGTTAGATTAATTAAACACGTAAATAGGTTAATGAAAAGATTAAACATATGTGGGCCAAAAATATAAGTAGAAATGAATTTTTAAAATTTGAAATTTCAAACAAGTCCCACTATTCACCTGGCTTAATCGAAATTCATTAGGGAAAAAAGCGATATCTTAAACCAAAGGGAGACGCGATTTTTTGATCGAACACCTGCAAATTTGCACCTTAAATCAATTTCTTGAAGCCTAAACCGAATACAGTCGTGATTTCGGCGATATAGTGAGATTTCGATCGATTTGTTGAACCCTAAAATCGATTTCCTTAACCCTAAACAGAATCTATGCGATTTCGGCGATACAGCCCACATTTCTGATCGAACTGCAAACTTTGACACCAAATTCAATCCAAAACCATGGCTGACACTCATAATGAGGAAAAAACCCAGCCACTTCGAATCCTAATTCCGTGGGCGCAAGCAGTTTATGATTGCTCCGTGGATCATCCGTCAGTGAAGGCGGTACACAAGCAGAGGAGACGCCACGGCACAAGAACAGGGAAAAACCGGCAAACGGTTCTAAAGACGAGGAGTCGGGCGAGAATTCAGGCAATGAGGAGGAGGCCGACGAAGAAAGGGTACGTTGTTTGGAATATTGCTTGTTTTGTCGCTTAACGATCATTTGTATCGCTTAAGCGATTAATCTGTTATACCATGATCGCACTCATGATCACTTAAGCGATCCTTGTATCGCTTAAGCGATCATGAGTGTTTACTCTTGGTCGCTTAAGCGATTTCGATCGCTTAAGCGATCTTGTCGAGGCAAATCACATATAATAAGCATCTTTTGTATTGCTTAAAAGATTCTCATTTACTCTTGGTCGCTTAACGATCTTGCACGGCGAGTAAGATCTCTTAAGCGATCCGAATTGCTTAAGCGACTACAGTGGTATATTTTGTTGTTGATATTTTGTTTTAGTTGTTTTGGTTTATTTTGTTGCTGACATTTGTTTATATCGATTGTGCGATTGTGCGGACCGTAAACTGTAGAGACTACGAGATGGAGCCTATAAGTGAGAAGGTACCCTACTTCCCTGCAAGGGTGATGGTGAGGTCGAGTTGGATATTTTTGATAAATAAGGGTCATTTTAGCTGGAATGAGGTGTGGTAAAGAGATTTCGATCGCACTTGTTTCGTCAGTTTTTAAGAATGGGAACAATTGGAAAAAGCCATTTTGGGGCAGGGAGTGCATTACATGTTGATGTACTCAGAAAATGCAACAAAAAAAATGAAATGTGGTTTGTGGTGGAACGAAAGCCACTACGGTTTGGATGATGAGTATGCCTTGGTGACGGGCTAGATGCGGGAAGTGCCAAATAAGGCGGAGGCAGACGCAATAGGACAAGTCCGAGAGCCATAAGTTTCGTAAGAAGGTTTTGCAGGGGGTAAAGTCTATTACGGACACGTTTTGGAGGAGAGGCTACAAACAGTTCGGTTTAATGATGGAGAGAAGATAAAAGTGTACTCCTCCTCCTCCTCTTGACATTTCATCCAGGTATGTGTATCTCCCTTTTGATTTCATATTTCGATTTACAAAGATCTGGGTTATGATTTTGATTTAGCATGGATTGAGTTTGGGTTATGATTTGATTTAGTTGTTTAGGTTGTTTGGCTATATTTGATGTAACAAGATTGAAGGAGTGAAATATGTTGAAAATTTGTTTCTGGTATGTGTTCTGGGTATGATGATCGATTGTAGGTGGAGATGACTAAAATGTTGTTCTGGGTATGAGATCGCTTAAGCGTTCTGGTATGTCTGGGAATGAAGTAGATAGATCGCTTAAGCGATCATGTATGTGGCATAAGATCGCTTAAGCGATCATGGTTATTTATACTGGATCGCTTAGTGATCGTATGTGGCATAAGATCACTTAAGCGATCATGGTTATTTATACTTGATTGCTTAAGCGATCCAGTACAAATAACCATGATCGCTTAAGCGATCTTATGCTACATACTTGATCGCTTAAGCGATACACTTGATTCTTAGTGATCCAATATAAATAACCATGATCGCTTAAACGATCTTATGCCACATACTGATCGCTTAAGCGATCTATCTACTGCATTACCAGACTACCAGATCGCTTAAGCGATACACCAGATCGCTTAACGATCCATCACACCCAGAACACATTTTCAGTCATCTCCACCTACAATCGATCTATCATACCCAGAACACATACCAAAAACAATTTTCAACATATTTCACTCCTTTCAACTTCCATACATCAAACATAGCCCACAACCTAACACTCAATCAAATCATAACCCAAACCCATCCATGCTAAATCAAAATCATAACCCAGATCTTTGTAAATCGAAATATGAAATCGAAAGGATACACATACTTGGATGAAATGTCAGAGAGGAGAAGGATCTGTGTTGGAGAAGTTGTTAATGGCGAAGGAATGTGTTACGTGGCGGGAGAAAGAAGAAGAAGGTGTTTGGGTTTATTTGCAAGAATTTCGACTCTTTGGGGACATATATAATTTTTAAAGATTACACAATTATTCATTAATCCTAATTAAGTAATTAACCTCTAATCATATTTAATTAAGCTTATAAAAATAAGGCTATTAGTTAACATTTACAAACTACATAATCTTTTAATTATTTTAACTACAAATGTTTTTTTAATAAACTCTTCCCTTCCCCCCGGGCAGTTTTACTCAAAGACATCTCAAGTTTGCATTTAATTAAAAGACTATCAAGTTTTAAAGTGTTAACTAATAGCCATTTATTGATTAAGGGTAATTAGTGCTTTAAGGATTAATGAAGTATTATGTAATCTTTTCAAAATTATACTACATTCCCACAAACCCGAAATTATTGCAAACAAACCCAAACACCTTCCCGCCATTAACGCATCTCTACCCCTGCATCTTCTTCTCTTCTTCTTAGCTTCGTCTACATCTTCTTCTTCTCTCTGCATCTTCTTCTTCTTCCTCCTTCCTCCTTCCTCTGCATCTTCTTCTTCTCCTCATTCCTCAATCTTCTTGTTCCTCCCGCCATTAACACTTTATTCTTCCTCTACCATTAACATCTTCTCCGCCAAAGATCCCCCTCCTCCTCCTCTTGACATTTCCTCTAAGTATGTGTATGTCCTTTTTACATTTTATATTTAGATTTCAAAGATTAATAATGATGGGGTTTGGGTTATGATTTTTTTTAGTTGTTTGGTTGTTGGTTGTGTTTGATGTAATGCAAGTTGAAAGGAGTGAATTTTTTTGAAAAATATTCTGGGTATATGTTCTGGGTATGATGGAATCGATTGTAGGTGGAGATACTGAAATGTGTTCTGGGTATATGGATCGCTTAAGCGATCTGGTAGTCTGGTAATGCAACAGATAGATCGCTTAAGCGATCTAGTAAAAGTCTGGTGTATAAAGCGATCGCTTAAGCGATCATGGTTATTTATACTGGATCGCTTAAGCGATCATTGTATCTTAAGCATCCAGTATAAATAACCATGATCGCTTAACATACAACAGACCATATAAGCACTGTGCAGATTCTTTTAAAATATTTGAACCTTAGTACAACATTAAGAATTTTTTTTTCTTGCATTACAGGTAGTTGACTATTATTACACATGGACAAGTTTGTTTTGGGTGTTGAATATTTGGTGAGTGGGTGGAGGAAGCACGTAGCTGGAGTGGATTGGGAAGAGCAAGAAGCTATACCAATTGCTGTGAGCACAGAAGTTAGTTTTATGAGTTGATTGATGAAATAATTAGAAGAGGTCATTTGAGTTGCTCGCGTAGTGATATAGTTGTGAAGTATCTTTTAAGCAGAGTTCTTGAAAATTTAAGGTACCTCCTGTTATATTAAAGTCGGATGAAAGTGTGAAGTTATATATGATTGATGTGGCCGATAATGGTTCGAACGATTTTAAGGGTTTCTTTGTAGAAAAACTGTTGGAAGTTGGTTCAAAGGAAGGGGATAACGAGGAAGTAGGCGAGATTTGCCTGGTTTAATTGAACTACGAGGCCAGATTTTTAGTTGAAAAATCAAGAGTAGATGGTCAATTGGTGGTGAGGAGGAGACTGTAGAAGAGGTTGGTGAGGGGGCAGAATGAAAATGTGGAGAGGACCCCGTAGATGTTCCCACAGATGTAGAGATTCATTTAAATACAATTATGCAGAAGGCGTAGATTGTGAGGAAGAGAACAGCTGGTTTTTACAGCAGTTCAAGAGGGCAATTGGAGGTAATAGTGAATCAGCTCATGTTTTTACGGATGGATCGGAGTTGCACATAGGGTATCTATTTGAACAAAGAGGAAGTTGTGAGGAAGCTAAAACTTGTTGCCATGAGAGTAATTTTGAGTTCATCACCAAAAAGTCAAATTCATTGGCTATGACGGTTGCATGTCATGACCGAAAGTGCAAATGGCAATTTTTTGTAGAAGGTTGGCGGAGTCGGAAAAATTTATGCAGCACATATACCAGTGAGCATACTTATGTTGGGACATATTTCAGGTGAGCACGACAAGCGTCCTCTATGTTATTGGACAATTTGTCAAAAGTCGGTTTGTTGAAGGGAAATGTCCATCTCCTAAAGACATTCAGAGACTTGTGCGCACAGAGTTGGGATGTGTTTAGTTACTAGAATGTTGGAAAGGGAGACAACATGCACAAATTTGTTAGGGCACTCTGGAGCACGGTACTAGTATTAGAAGCATACCGTTATATGCTTGAGTTGACAAACCAAGGTAGCAAGACGGCTTTGAAGTGGGCAGGAATATGA